TTTTTTTTTGGAGACAGGGTTTTGCTCTGTTGCCAGACTGGACTGCAGTGGCGCAATCTTGGCTCACTGCAACCTCCCTCCTGGGTTCAAGCGATTCTTCTGCCTCAGACTCCCGAGTAGCTGGTACCACAGGCACATGCCACCACACCTGGCTAATTTTTGTATTTTTAGTAGAGACGAGGTTTAACCATGTTGGCCAGGATGGTCTCGATCTCTTGACCTCGTGATCTGCCCACCTTGGCCTCCCAAAATGCTGGGATTACAGGTGTGAGCCACCATGCCTGGCCAACCAGTCTTTAAAAAAAAAAAAAAAAAAAAAAAAAAAAAAACTCTGTACAAGCCACAGTGCTTAAAAAAAAAACAACTCTGATAAACCTTTATGGTGTAAATATAACCCATGTGTGCTATTTTAAAAGCTAAAGCCCATTTTCTCTTTTAAACTTTATACATTACAACCAAATTCTACTTAAAACTGAGAAACCTGGCCTGGTACAGTGGCTCAGACCTGTAATCCCACACTTTGGGAGGCTGAGGCAGGCAGATCACCTGAGGTCAGGAGTTCGAGACCAGCTCTGCCAACATGGTGAAACCCTGCTTCTACTAAAAATATAAAAATTAGACAACTGTGGTGGTGGGTGCCTGTAAGACCAGCTACTCTGGAGGCTGAGGCGGGAGAATCACTTGAACCCAGGAATCAGAGGTTGCAGTGAGCTGAGATTATGCCACTGCCCTCCAGCCTGGGCGACAGAGCAAGACTCCATTTCAAAAACAAACAAAAATAGTAACTACCCAGTCATGTCGCTTAACATGGGAACATGTGAGAACTGTGTCAATTAGGTGATTTCATTGTGATATGAACACTGAGTATACTTATACAAACATAGACAGTAAAGACTACTACACACCTAGGCTACATGGTATAGCCTATTACTCCTAGCCTACGAATACCATATTGAATACTGTAGGCAACTGTAACACATGGTTTTGTGTATTTAAATACAGAAAAGGTACAGTAAAAATACCGTATTATAATCTTATGGGACCACTGTTGTATATGTAGCCTGTCATTGACTGAAATGTCATTATGTGATGTATAACTGTACTCAGTATACTTTAGAGGTTTCAACATATTAAAATACATATAAAGTTATGTAAGGGAAGAAAAACTCATTCTAGATGTAAAGATTTCTATAAGGCAACACTACAGGGACTGTAAACCTAATACAACTCCTATGTAAAAATTCCCAAATACAATAAACAATTCTTTACTATTACCTTTCAGGCGTTTTAGGTTACAAAAAACTCAGACACTAAAAATAAACTATGTTTGCAAAATTTATCTACTTGGTATTACACCACTAGAAACAGATGCTGAAAAGGTAATTTTATAATGGCAGAAAACATATACACTAATGAGATTCCACATGAATCTTTATTTATAATTTGGGGCCTGAAACAAATCTTATAATCACCTCTTTCAAATTAACATTTTATTCCCTTAATGGCGTGGTTTACACCCTCTCCACAAAAACAATTATAACTAATACACTAGAAATATTTTGTAATAGAACCTCTTAAAGAAGACATTTTCGCTAACCAATCCAGACCAAGGATTGCCTCAAAAATGGAATCTGTTAATTTTCTGGTGGTGTTATTTTAGAATAGATTTCATAACCAAATTATACATCTAATTAACTTATGTGTTAAGTTTTTGCATTCACATCCTAAATCATGGAAGCCCTACCTTATAAAACCTTACCACTCAAGGTAAATACTATATCACATGTCAAGAAAATAATGAATCTTTTAAATCTGCCACTAAAGTCTGAAAAACCCAAATTTCAAATTATAATAACACTCATTTCTACTAATAATCACAAATGTCGTGACAGCTTAAAAAAAAAAAAACCTACAGGTTTAACTAATAAGCTTGAAAATTACAGCAGAGTAAATAAAACTGTCAAACACTAATTTTGGCTCTAGTTCTTATCTTGCCCAAAAATGTGCATATCATAGCCAACAGAATTTTTCTGTAGAATTTTATTTTGAAAATAAGATTTCACTTCAAGATCTAAAAAACATTTTAAGATATGAAAATGTTATACAACTTATCTATTACAAATTAATCAGATAATTCTGCAATTAGGTACACTGTGTTAGCTTGCCTACATAAAAAATATTGCACATTTTCCTTTGTCTTCAGATGTGACTGATGTCTAAACTATATAGAATTCCAAACTATTTTAAAGTTATTCTGTGAAATGTCATCTTTATAAATATCCGAACTAAATGCACTGTAAACAGCCATTTTAGTAAACATGCATTTATTCACAGTTGATTTATTTCCTTTAGATAAATGCATAACTGCTCAAAATTATATAATAACCTATGTAGAGGTACAAGAGCACACTATACAAATCTATTTCTATCTTCATTTTGAGGAAACACTGATATTGGCAAAAATCTGGTATGATTTTTAAAATGAACTATTGCTGGTAAGAAGGCATACTTTAAATTTTTCTGTGGCCTGCACCTGCTTTCTTTTTAAATTAAAATGTAAAAGCATTTGTTTTCAGAGATTCATTTATCACTGCATAAGTGATTACATTAAAAAATGGACCCTGAAAGCAACT